CCAGAGCCAATAATTCCTGTCAAATACAAACCATACTTTGTCTATGTCATGACCAAAAAAAAAAAGAAAGAAAAAGTGGAGTTATAATAAAACAAGGAAAAGAAAATGTCAAATCATCCCTTCTGGAACAAGTCAGATTTAAGAAGGAAAACAAAGGAAACGAACCTCATATGACATGCTATCAATATCGAGTCTCATATCTCGATGCCTGTCATAGAGGCTGAGGCTGCCAAGAAACAAACTGGTCTCCAGTGCAAGCAATTCCTGTGGATCAAGTGAGAATTTTCTTATTATGAATTTACCTTTATTTCAAAAAACTATATGTAGCTAAAAGGGGAAAAAAAAAATGTGTACTTACTTCATGTGTCATCTCTTGGTCTTGTTCAATCCTCTCGAGAGCAAACAGCATCTGCAAATGATATTCTCATTCAGCTCACAAATAAAAGAAAAATAGTGTGTTTCGCTTATCATCTCCTCAAAATACGTCTCCTCGTTTCTTTACAAAATCTTAAACGATTAAAAAATTTGGAGAACTCACTTTTTTTGTTCTCTTTTTTGTTTGTCCTAAACAAAGATCCTATTCTTACAACCGCCTCTAACTATGGCCATTTTAGTCACAACATCAACTTTCAACAATTAACTAACTTATCAAAAGAATCAACAGCTCATTCTCAGAAAGTAAGATCTACAAACTTACAAATCGCAAGCCTAAAAACATCTTTTATGTCAGAAAAAAAAAAAAAAAAAAAAACCCGTAAGCACATGAAAAGGCCAATTTACCTCAGCAACTCCAACCATGTTATAGCCACGCAACATGTCATCATCCATCAATTGTGTAAATCCATGTTCTTCAGAGGTGAAATCCACTGAGTCAGAAGATCTGGAGCCACTTGTGGAAAAACTCAATGAAGTACTCCTACTGCCAACACTCGGCTGTAATTCGCTATTGGGTAATTCGGATGTAACAACAGCACGTTCCCTCACAGACGAGTCGTTTCTTCTATTTTGGAACTCAGGGACGCTCTTCGCCATCGACTGTGATTTAATAATTGGCCTACTCATGGATGGCGTGTGCGTAACCTTTCTCTCTCTGCTAGATGAGCCACTTTCTCTTTCAAAACTTCTCCTTCTCACCATCGGATTAGATGACCCTGAGGCAGAGGTTCTAGAAGCCAACGGAACTGAACGAGCTGGCGGGCTGTTTTGGTTGTTCAATTGAGATTTATTACGATGAGAGATTATTCTAGGTCTCACACTCGACGATGCACTACTTTCTGACAGCTCAAATTTTGCCTGAGAACTCAGTACTCGCTTGGAATCAAGGCATGGCTTATTTGCACTTGTTTTAGTGATGGGACTACTTTTCAATGGCTTCCGAGTAACATCATTTCCAACTGAAGAGCGAAAAGAAGTGTTTGCAAATTTGGGTTTATCTGAGCTGCCAGCTCTTGTGATTTGTACATTCGTTCTTCTTTCGCTGCAAACGGTTCGGCTGCAGGTGGGAGGATTTTTAGCAGCTGAAGAATGTGCTTTTTTCGATGTTGTGGGCCCGCTTGGACCTCGTTTTTGAGGGTGTTGATCCATGAGTAATCGTGGCAAGATTCTCAATTTCTGCTAAAAAATAGTTGGGGTATGTTTATCCTTTTAAATCTTACTACATGAGAGCAAAACACACACTTCTTATAATACAATTGATTTAAATAACAATAACGATATTTAGAAAAATCATATCAGAAAATACTGGTTATTCTGAAAGTATTACGTTGCAATCAATTGTTATATCGGGTCAAACTTGGCATAAGATGAAAATTGAAATAAAGTCATAAATACATGTAACTAGATTCAAGACCCCAATCAGCATGAGTACACAACATTCATCATCTGGTACAACACAACTCGATAACATGCAAAAGACGACTGTGCCAATAGCTATCAGCAGCAATAACCAATTTCATCATACTTAAAACTCGATTAACAAAAAAATATAACAACAGGATACACACAATCAAATATAAAAAAGGTTTCGTCTGACTTAACGATCACTATAGCTTGAGTATGTGGAATGAATAGTGAATACACACAATGAATACTCATACAGTGAAAATCATTTTGTTATTTGGTTTTTTGGCACTTTATATTGATTCAGATACACACTTTTAACAAAAATCAAGTCACCAAAATGTTTGAGCAAAGATATATCTCTACACAACAAACCAAGGGATAAAAACAAAGGTGAGAAAATCAAACATCCTATCTTAGTCAATTTCAAGTTGAAAAGAAATTTTCAGTAAATAACAGAAAAACAAAGGGTAAATGAAAACCAACAAACAAATATGTATTCACACATAAAGGAGTCATCAATATTACAAGACTTTAAGAACCTCAAACAGCTCTGCTCTATTCAAAAAATAAATTGATACAAAAATAGTGACTGGTAAGAAAACCCTATTAAAAAAATCAAACATGAAACAAAAGAGAACCCAAAAAGCGATCAAACAAACGGCAAACACCAATCAGAAAGAAAACTCACAATTAAACAAGACGCTTCGACAGACAGTCAAGAAATGCTATGATAATCGCGTTACCAAGCAACAATCAAAATCCCAACAAGAATCAATCAAGAATCCATGAAAGAAAATAACCCAACTCATTAATCAAGATTTCAGACAAACCCATGAAAAAAAGCAGACAAACAGAATCAATTAACCAAAGTAAAACAAAAAAAATAAAAAAAAAAGGCACGCACTTTATAACAAACGGGTAACATAAATCAGCTCTTTTTAC